CTGAAGGGCTTCTTAATTGTACAGTCTTATGTCTTACATTCTGGGGTCCCTGACGGCTCACCGTACGCAGTCTTGGATCAGTCCCGCGATTGAGAATCTGAAGTAGTTCTCAGACTGAATCAGCTAAATGCACCCCTATCTTAAATCCTGTGTCCCGTAATTCCAAATTCCTAAGGGGTCTGTGTTCCGTAATCTAGTGTCACTAAAGTGTGTGTTCTCTGTACTTGGAGGTGCTATTTCCCCAATTTGTGATCATCAAAGGCTCTTCCTTTCTCCTTAGGACTGATAGCGCCCGCGCACCAGGGCTTCAGTCTTCGCTTTCGCCCCCTTGGATCCTCTGCCCAAGACCAGGCTTCCAGAACAGACCTCAGTGAAGCTCCAGACTACAGCTATGAGTCTCTTCGAGTGACACCTGCTCAGAAGCACATTCTGCATGTGCAGCTCAACCGGCCGGAAAAAAGGAATGCCATGAACAAGGTCTTCTGGAGGTCTGATCTGCAGATCCTGGAGGCCTGCCTGCAGGAGGAGGCGGGGGTTGAGGGACTGGGCAAGGATGGAAAGTGGGGCAGAGATGGACATGAGGGCAGGGGATTCGCACCCCAATGTAGTCCTTTACTCTTTGCTGCTCCACAGGGAAATGGTGGAGTGCTTCAACAAGATAGCTAAAGACACCGACTGTCGGGCCGTGGTGATCTCTGGTGCAGGGAAAATGTTCACTGCAGGTACCAGGTGTTCCTCACCTCCACCCTCAGTCTTCCTTGTTCCTGACAGTATATCAGTGCATCTTAGGTTTTAAGCAGCTTCTAACTTACACATTTAGCATTTAAAAATATATACCTGTGGCTCAAGTGGCTAAGGCGCCAGCCACATACACCTGAGCTCGTTGGTTTGAATCCAGCCCAGGCCACCAAACAACAATGACAGCTGCAACCAAAAAATAGCTGAGCATTGTGGTGGGCCCCTATAGTCCCAGCTACTTGGGAGGCAGAGGCAGGAGAATCGCTTGAGCCCAGGAGCTGGAGGTTGCTATGAGCTGTGATGTGACAGTACTCTATCAAGGGCGACAGCTTAAGGCGCTGTCTCAAAAAAAAAAAAAAAAGACAGAGGATCCTTTAGGTGGAGAATAGTGCCAAAACCAGGGCTGCACTGGCTACCCCATGTGGTAAGAACAAGCAGATCACAAGCCTCTGAGCTCAGTCCCCACTTCACCCGATACCTGGCTTCACCAAATAGCTTCTTACCTTCCACATTGTTATAGAAGTGACAAGAGCGACTCGCCACCTTCTTGCGGCACAAGTGGATCTATAAGAGGAAGGCAGAGCAAGCGGCTCAAATGATGGCCTCCCCTGCTACCCCTCAGGTGCCCTTTAACTCCTGGAGCCCACCTGCATGTGGTTACTCTCCTGCTTCTTCACCTCAGGGTGGATACATAGCTGCTCCCGGGAGCCCAGCACACACACCTTGGGCCTGGCAGAAGAGAGAACCACAGGGTCAAGGAAGAACTGCCTCCAAGAACAGATGGCCATAGTGTGGTCCAGCTGTACGGAGACCCACAGGAAACTTGGCAACCAGAATCCTAACTGGAACACAACCCAAGCTGGAAGGGTAATGAGGAAGATGGGGACTGGGCAGGAGGGGTGGGGCTCATGGGCTCCACAGTGCCCCATTAGTGTCCTGTCCTCAGGGCTCTTTGCATAGGAACCAGGGTGGGACACCAAAACTCTGCTGAACTCTGAGGAGGCAGGGCTCCTCCCCTTCACATGTGAGGCTGCAGGGGGAGGGAAGTCTGGTCCTGACTCCTACTGACATAAAAGCACCTACAAGTGGCTTAGGGAGCTGGCCCAAAGCCAACATGTACACACATAGCTGCTTTCTCATGTGTGATGGGAGTTGAGGACAGTCCAACCTCACCCTGCCCCTGAGCACCTACACACTGCACATTCTCAGGTGGGGGCAAAAAGATCTGCCACCATGCAGTATAGGCTACGGGCCCAGCATCATGCCAAGTTCCTCTCAAGACCCGGTGGCAGGTGTGAATCTGCCTGACCTACCGGTAGGAGGTGTTCCGGAGCTCGCTGATGACCTGCGTGAGCTGTGAGTGGGTCCTGGAGGCATAAATGATCTTTGGGATGTCCGTGTAGCAAACTGCCAGGCACAAGGAGGTATAATAGGTCATGGTCTGAGATACCGTTCCCAAACGTTGGTTTCACACAGGCAGCATTAGGCTAACTTGGCCCTGAAGGTGGCAGGAAATCTAATACCCCATGCATTTATTTACCAGAAATGGAGTGAGTGGGTATCTGCAGTGCCTTGATTCAGCCAAAAACCCAACCCAGGCTTACACCCAGGATGGTGAGAAATGATATGGCAGCTACAACATTCTCCTTGCTTTGGCTCTGCCTGAGAGACTGAAGAAGTCCAGAGGACTCACCCCCTCCCCAACTTCACTCTCCCCTTCCACCCTGACACTGGAGGCTGGGAGAGACCAGGAAGTAGGGTCACCTATGGGGTCTCCTCCAGCAATAGCAGCATTCCCCCAGGATGACAAGGCCCGGTCAAGGAAAAGCTCCCCTTGCACTCTCTCGGCAATCTTGCGGGCAGAGACGCTGTCCCGGAGATGTTCCCGCCAGGCCAGTGTAGTGCAGAGGAGGCAGAGTGTCTTCCCTGTACCTGTGGGGCTCTCCAGGATGCCATTCACTCTCTAGATGGAGTTGGGAACAGGAGTCATGAGGAAGCAGGAGATGTGAAGCCACTCACGCTACCCTGAAGACAAGTCTCTGGCAACAAGTGGGGCAGCTCTCAGCAGATATGTAGCCCACTATCAGGTGGCAAAAGACCCAGGGAACTGTGGCTAAGTCCATATGACACTTTCCACTCTCATCCCAAAGGCATTGGGTTGATTCAGTCCTCATTAGCAAACAATTTGAAGAACATTACCTAAAATTCAACAGTAATTTTTAGCTTAATATAAATAGTAAATGACTAATTAGGTGTCTAGTCTCAAAATAGGAAATTGTTCTGAGTTTCTGGATCTTAGCATTTACTCTGTCCTATCTGAACCAAATCTGATGTCCTACATATGAGCTCTCAGCTGGGCGCCTGAGCAGAAAAAAAGGGTAGAGCACGGTACAAGAGGGCACCTCAAGAAACCCAACAGAAAGCACCTGCCCCACTTCCACCCCCCTGCACACCCTTGAGGTTCAAAGACCTTCCAAATGAGGGCTGGCCACCAGCTGCCACTTGCTTCCTAAATGCTACCTCCACAGAGAGGTCCCCAAGGCACTCCCAAGCCTATCACCATTAAGAATGATCACTTTGGCTTGGCGCCTGTGGTTCAGGTGGTTGAGGTACCAGCCACATGCACCTAAGGTGGAGGGTTCGAATCTAGCCCGGCCCGCCAAACAACAATGATGGCTGCAACCAAAAGACAGCCAGGCGTTGTGGCGGGTGCCTGTGGTCCCAGCTACTTGGGAGGC